AACCATTGTAATTCAGGAATTATGGTCTTAATATTTTTTACTGAGATGTCAATTAATAAGCAAGGTTTCCATTGACTCAAGTTGAACTGGTAAATTCATGAACATGTCCACACAGTTTTCTTGGCTACAATACAGTAGTAGTTTATATCCTCCCTTACAAGAATCCTGTTCTTCAGAAGTAACTGAAGAATTTTTAACTTTTGCTCATTCAAGGCATATTATCACAGATTGAATTTCTCTCACTGCAGGAAATCTGACATTATTGTAAAGGCAAAGTTAGCGTTAAAAACAGTTCTCTCCCCAAGGAAATTCACTTAAATTTCACTTTAAAATGTAGGTATCATATAACGTGTTGTTATAGAAACTAAATGTATATACAATGTTTTGAAAGAAACACATATGTCTAGAAAAATAAGTTACTAAAAAAATGAACTTTGGTTCAGTTCCAGACTGAGGTTACTTGACATTCCTCTTATTTATTATTTATTTACAGATTTGGTTCCCATTTCCTTTTATTATGCCCATAATCCTGAAACAACCTAATAGTATTAACATATTTTTTTTGCCTAAGAAAAAAACCTGAATTTTAAATATATATTCCAGCTCACTAAACTAATCTGAAGCCATATTTATGTTCTCAATAAAAAGACTGATATAGATTTAACAACAATGGGATATTCATTGCATCCAAATAACCAGAGAATCTAATGTTAAGATTAACAGTAAAATGATTTAACAGATTAACAGATTTAACAGTTTAACAGAGCTGGAAGGGACCTTATAGATCATCTAGTTCAACTAGCAGGAGACCTTGAACCATTTCTGACAAATGAAAGTGCAGTCTCTTCTTGAAAGTTTCCAGTGATGAAGCTCCCACAACTTCTGACAGCAAGATTTGTGGATGATTAATTTGAGAACAGCTAATAATTAACGCTGAAATTTGAGTATTCCTGCAAATTGAAAAATGCTACCAATAACTCTATATCCAGGTTATGATAATAGCAATGATAATGACCAGCATCCCAGCATCAATAAATACAAATTAAAATATTAAAAAATATTAATTTTATAAATACTAAAGATTGCATATTTTAATGATTTTTGCAAGTGATAAGTAACACACGAGGATTGCTGGAATGAAGATTAAAAATGAAACATAAATTAAAGACATTAGCTGTTGACCTGGTGATAATTTTGAGAGATTCTTTGAAAGAAAATGCAAAATTAAAGAATTTGGGCGGTGGTAGCTGGTTTTAAAACAAATAAAGATGAAGATGTTAACAAAGGATATGAAAATTTAAAAAAAACAAATAAAATTGATAGAAATAACTGCTTTTCAGATTGATAAAAAAGTTAAAAACTTGGTTATTACTATGACTAACATTACTTGTATATTATAGTGGAATAATTCTGTTAAGCTGTGAGTGTAAATTAAGAAGGACGTGTTAAGATGAGAAAAAATATAATTGCCATTGTTGGGGAGAGTGTCTGGGATAAAAATTGATGTTTTGTCAAAAATGATGCTTTTATTTTAAACAGTTATGACAATGTAGCATTTAAACTTGGCAGAAAAATTTATCTAGATTTGTGTAGGAGACTGGAGACTAAAACATATGAAGAACGGTTGCAGGAACTGGGTATGTCTAGTTTAATGAAAAGAAGGACTAGGGGAGACATGATAACAGTGTTCCAATATCTCAGGGGTTGCAACAAAGAAGAGGGAGTCAAATTATTCTCCAAGGCACCTGAGGGTAGAACAAGAAGCAATGGGTGGAAACTCATCAAGGAGAGAAGCAACTTAGAACTGAGGAGAAATTTCCTGACAAAACAATTAATCAGTGGAACAGAATGCCTCCAGAAGTTGTGAATGCCCCAACAATGGAAGTCTTTAAGAAGATGTTGGATAGCCATTTGTCTGAAACAGTATAGGGTTTCCTGCCTAGACAGAGGGTTGGCCTAGAAGACCTCCAAGGTCCCTTCCAACTCTGCTATTGTATTGTATTGTATTGTATTGTATTGTATTGTATTGTATTGTATTGTGTCAGGGAATTGTGAAACATATATCCGAATGAAGTCAGAGATGCTGACATGAACTTTTAATTTTATATAAATAAATATGTTTTACATCTATATTTATAGCAGTAAGATAGTCAGGAAAACAGGTGCATCATGAGGTATATCATAGAGCGCACAGAGCACCCAGAAGAAAAAGGTGGGAGAAAAGGAAATGTCCCCCTTTTCACCCATAGTAACAATCACAGCGTAAGCTGCCTCATACAGGAGCCAGCACTCTCCAACCAATCAATTATAACTATGTGTTCTGGCTCACTGTACAACCCCACTGTTCCAACTACTAAATTTAAATATTTTAATGGTTTGTATGGCAAGTGAAGAAAATAGGGTTAAACATAAAAATACTTCAAGATACAAAGAAATGAAAAGGACTTGGCCTACCCGATTGGAAATTCTATTTTACAGCCTATTGCTTAGTCTGGATAAGTGGATTTGACTCAGAAGCAAGAGAGTTTTAGAGCATAACCTGGGGTTTAGGTAGCCTATTTTCTATGATATGATAGTATAATTTTAAGAATCATTATAATTAGAAGTGCCATATGGAACAAATGGAACAAACTGTGCCTAAATATTTCTCTGGGTGTCTCAGCCAAGAACCCATGTTATCAAACTATTTCCAGATATCCAAACAAATACACTACAAACAATTAAACCTTGGTGCCTTTGTTATAAAGACTTCCTTTCTTTAAAAATGTGTATTAAGTATACATATCACATTAAATAAGTAAACAAAAGTGCACGAGGAATAATGCTATTTGCAGGAGCAGGAATATGTGTAAATCAAGGGAGGATAGCAATAGCAAATATAGCAACAAATAAAAGACCAACCAATGTTGAGAGTAAATATAGAGGCTTATAAACAAAAATTTGATTTCCCTTTCATTATTTCTTTTAAACACATTTGTGAAACATTAACAAAAAGTTCTGAATTATTGGAATCTGGATTTGAATAAATTCTCATTTGCAAGTTTTCTTTAAACAGGGGATTATCATGCAAATCTGCTGAAATGGGAGAATAATTCTTTCTGTATTTTTTTGCCCAGTCTTCTGTCTTTTCAAAATATATTGTCATCATATACACATTTCTTTCTGGATACATGTTCCACCACTATATGTGAAAAAATTCCACATATAGGCAATGTTTACCTACTTCTTTTAAAGAATGTCTTTGTTTTACTCTATTTGACTTTTGCTTACAAATTGAAAAAAAAAAAGCTCTGGTTTCAACATATTTAGCATTCAGCTATTTCTGTTCCGCCGTGCCATTTACTTGACCATAACAGTCTTATCCTTGTATTTTGAATTTGGACTGACTTTTAAAAGTTGAATCCTAGCAACGCTCCCTAGTTTTACAATATTTACATAATTGTTTTCATGGTAATTGAAACATAGTTGAGTCATCTAAATGAAGCAAATAAATGTATAAATAATCACTATTTAAATGATAGCATCGTATGATCAGTGCATTTGGTAACATACCTAAGTAGCTGAAGGGGAATCAAAACAGTCTTGAGATCAAAATGAAAAAAAGATAAATTGAAGCTGTAATGTTACATATTTAGTTGCAAATGATTCATTAAAAATGGGATTTGCTTCTAATATAGTTGTATAAAATAGTGTTCTATTTTATTTTGTAAAAAACATTCTGGGAATGAACACAGAAAACATACATACACACTAAAAATCCAGCATTTGACCTCTAACTTCACATTATTTCTAGGCTGTGGATTTTTTTAAAAAAAAATATCCCCCCCCCCATTATTATTTTTAAAAATAATTCAAGGCAGTGAATATATTTAATAGATCTTGCTCCTCCTATTTTCTCCACAACACCTTGTGTGTGATTGGCCCAGTCACCCAACCTAGCTTTCACACCTAAGTCAGGACTAGAATTCTTCAGTTAAACATACTTGTCACTTATTATATTACAATAAATTACAACCACTCCTCTAGGATTATAAAAAAAAGCAACAGTACTATCACAGATCTTTTGAAGGTATTTTAGAATATATACTGTGCTTACAAAATTGCATCCGTTACATTTATACACTAGGGATCCTAAATTTGGCTCTACAGATATAAGATATATATTTATTTTTTTATATACCATCAGAAAATGAACTAAAATGTGAATAATAGTTAAGGATGTTTTATTCGGAAGAGCTTACGTCCTATGACCATGCATTTAACACCATCTGTCTATCCCAGGTCCTTGGGAAGAGCTCGATAGGTGAACAAAATGCCAAATTCAGTCTAAACATCTGGTTGACTATGCAACAAACTATAATAAGCATAATTTCAAGTTCTACTTTATGTTCATGCTGGTATAGGAGAAGAACAAAGGATGAGAAATATATTGTTCTAGAATGATAACAACATGCTTCCATGATGTTACATCATGGTTTAGCATGATGTCTAAAATCAATCATTCAACCAAATTCAACATCCAACCATATTTTGAGAAGGCTATACATATTTTTTTAAGATTTGAGCCTAAAGGTTTTGATTATATTTAAGATATAACTCTCTTAATATTTTTCCTCTGTATAATTCTCATCACTTCCAGCATGTTTTTAAAAAATCATTCAGCAGTGAGCAACTGCAGACGGCAAGTGTTAAAAAGGGATGGTACTTCAATCATGCAGTGAGATACACTATCTTGACTATTTTGAGCTCCCATGGAATTCCCTGTTGAAAAATATATTCTTCAGAACTATTTAGAAGTAACATTGATTCTCCATTGTTTTCCTTTTTTATTTTCTTTCCTTCTTGATTTTAAATGTTAAGTTAAATCATTTTTAAAATTTAAATATACTGTATATGTCAATATTATTTAAGTAGCAAAATATATAGTGTGGCAATAAAAATCAATATGAGTTGCAAAATTCAATTTCCTTTTTAGTAAGACATAAACATCTGGTACTCACCTTTCAAATCCAATCTGCCTTAGTGCTTTTTCCCATGTCAAACCTGCAGAAAGAAAGATGTATTAAGTTTATTTTAGGTAGTTTTCATTTTTCAGTGAAGTCAAGAGACCAACTCACTGCACAAGGACATAGTTTTCAATTGATTTCCTATATTTATTTAAAAGAAAGGTTTAATATGGGTAAAAATAATTGGAATAAAAAAACACAAAATAGAAGTTAACATTTATATAGGTACAAACAGTGAACACATAATAGCAAAAACGTATAAATTTGTTAAGATTTGAAACAAAGAACAAGTTAAAGATGGTCGGACAAAATGGGCTATTAAATTTTGAATGCAATATATAGATGGACATATGTGAGACAGTGGGAAACTGGTAAGAAATTCAGACTATCCCATAACTAAAGCAAAACACTTTATAAAATTATCTGTTGGTGGTGTATGAGACCAAACAAATTATCAAAAGTGTAGAAAACTATTTCAGATACAATTTTAGAAATGTTAAAATATAATGGGACATTTTATCAGACCTGGTAGACTGGTGACAAAAGCCAAGAAATTTTGGACAAAAATTCATATGATAATGCAAAAGAACTTTCTTACTGGGATTTATGGGCAATGAATTAGAAAAGACTCATGACCAACTGTTTACTGTATATAAATGGTAACTGCAGCAAAATTGTTATATGCTCAATGTTGGAAGAACAATGAAATTCCCACAGTGGAAGAATTTCCTGAGATGACAAAGCTGACCTGTTTTATCAGAGGTAAAAAAAAAAACTTTTCTGAAACTTTATATGGACTTTTTGCTGAATGAAGAAAAGAAGAAAAAATAAAATAAATATATGATGCAATGATTTACAGATTCAAAGATTTAAAAAGATGTGGGTTAAATGAGATGCTGAAGAAATTTGCATAACAAGAGAGAGAGATTGCAATTTGTTGAAGGGAAGTTTGAAAGTCATACTTCATAAATTTTCTTCCTTTTTTCCCCTTGCATCTTTTTCTTTCTACCATCTTTCTTTTTTTTCTTTAGATTTGTCTTTTACTTTAAGAAAAATCTTCAATAAATATAAAAAAATATTGTTTTCATTTTTCTATACAGCTGGCAACCTGTGTTAGCTGCTACTTAAATTCATTATTGTGGTGCAATGGTTAGAGTGCAGTACTGCAGGATACTTCTGCGGATTGACTGCAATTTGGCAGTTCAAATCTCACCAGGCTCAAGGTTGACTCAGCCTTCCATTCTTCTGAGGTGAGTAAAATGAGGACCCAAATTGTTGGGGGCAATATGCTGACTCTGTAAAAAGCTTAGAGAGGGCTGTAAAGCACTGTCAAGTGTTATATAAGTGCTATTATTATTATTTTCACAGCATAGAAATCCTGATTTTTCTTATATTGCTTAGCAATAAGATAGGCAGAAGGACCAGTTGGTATGATGAAACGATGCAATGGTGACTTCATACCAATATTCAACCAATTTAACCAATATCAACACTTGCAGTGAATCACAACAGTGATTTGCTTTGGAGAACAGGAAGGACAGCCACGTAAAAACATCAGCAGCATTGGGAAAGTATAAATAGGTTCTTTCAGCAATTGCTGGAAATATATTTTCAAGACGCCAGCTTATAACTCTAGAAAAAATACCTGGATGCTACACCATTTAAATTAATCTTCTTTGCCAACTTAAGCAGAAATCAGAATACTTTTTAAAATTTTTATATTTGTTGTTTTTAGTTGTCATAATAGCAATCCACTAAAATCCAGATATTCTCCTTTGTTCCAGGCTACTATTTATTTTTTTAAAATCTATCCATGTTCATGTCTAGTTTCAAAATCTATACATTAAAACTCATTCCTGTACCTTTTAATTGGGCAAAACAGTGCATTAGGGGAACAATTTCTGAACCAAGCTATCTCAAATGGGCTAAGTTACAGAATATGTCCAAGGTCTGGGACACATGTTTCCTATGAAAATGAAAGCTGCAAACATTATAAATTATTTTATGACATAAAAATTATCATAAAACAGTTTATGATGTAATACAAAATGTCACAAAACATTTCCTGTGGTGATGTTTGATTGTGCTATACAATTCAACATAGGCTATTTAAGGCAGGTACAACTCTGAATGTATCCCAACCTTTCCAGTGAAGGCAATGCATTCTAAGTATTGTTGAAAGACCCTGAGGAATCTGGTAAGGAAATATCTCTGATAAGAAGGATCCAATAGTTCACAAGTTGTTTAGCTGTTCACTAAAAGACTAGGAATTTCTAGTATTGATCCAGAAGATGTTTGATTTTCTTAATTGACCCTAAATTCCTGCATACATATGGGGAGACGCTGCATCTGAAAGTGGTGAAGCCAGACATAACACAACAAAGACAAACCTCAGTATAATTTTATAAAATAAAATGACATTCTATTTCAGGAAAAGTTTAATGTTATTTTGAAACATACTTGTTTAGTATTAAAACAAACTATATGTTTAAAATTTTCCTTTATATTGTCAATGCAAAGAAAAAGAATGTGACTTCAAAAAATGGAAAGACATTCTAATGTCCCAAATAGCAATCCTATTTTTTATTTGTTTCTGAAGTATCTGTTTATCCCTTAAGTTTATTTCTCTTCTGTTTCTTTTCCCCCTTTCCCCCTTTTTAGTATCTTTTTGTTTACTTACTTACTTAGGCCATTATAAAAAAATGGTATTTTTCCAAAATATAGGAAAACATTGACCAGATTCATCCATAGCATTAAAAATTGTTTCTTAATCATGGTGAAATAATGCACAATCGGTTGCATTCATAGGTTATATTAAGCCAAAATTAAGTATGCTAATAATTTTCTGTGATATCGGATTCCAATCTTTGAATTAAAATGAGAAAAGGTAAAAAGGTAACTCACATGTTTGCAAAACTGCTTAATGACTGCCACAACATATGACCATAATTCCTGGCTCAATTACATTTGTTGGTTAAGGACTATCTGTATGATTTTTTAAATTGGAGATAGTTATAATGTTAAAGAAAGACCCAGATCTTACCAAAGCAACATGTGTTTATATAAAAATGAAAGCAAAAGCTTGTGCACTCTTTTTTGGCCATATGGGAAGGAAGCATGGTAGCCAAAGACTCACTAAGGATAATGCATACTAAAATATGATTTGGCATAGCATATAAATGCAGTTACAGGATCATGGGTAAGTATGCTGCAGCATTATTGTGCTATGCATAGGAACTCTACACACAATGTTTTTATATACATCTAGTCCTTACTTAACAATCATTTATGATAGACTCAGAAAAAATTCTTATCACCCATCCTCAAAGTTATGATTGTCGCGCAAACATCCATAATCATGAGATCACATTCCAGATAGATCTTATTTACAACCAGTTGCAGCATCCATTGTCATGTGACCACAATTTGCACTATTGTTTTGCTCTTTTTAGAGGAAAACTTCAAGGAAAATACCCATTGAATATGCTGGATTCATTTCCCATGTGGTTTTTTTTAATGACCATTTAATTTGCTTAATTGCCATGGACTTGCTTAAGACCATCATAAAAATGGTTGTAAAACTGAGTCAGGTCACATGGTTAACCTACTTAACAGCCACAATAACTTATGATCAAAATCCCGGGTCTAATTATTAAGTGAAAACTATCTGTAATATAGAAAGACACAAATCTGCACACACACAATTTTTTTCCTCAAATAAACAAGTGTAGTAAAATGGAGAATTAACTCCAGAGTTCTTTTCCTAACAGTGGGAGCAACACTATAATATAATTCTATAAACTAGCCAGACTCATATTCCATCATAAATAACTAAGTTACTATATATTGTAATAATTTCTGCTATAGTAGTAAATCTATATACTGTAACCTAGGAAATAAAATAAAACTGCTTATTTGTTACTGTTTTGTCTAATGACAGCCCCAGTCTTTCCTGCATCCTATCCAATTTTCCTGACAAGCATTGTGATGAGTGATGCCACATTACATTTTCATTAACTTTCATGTTTAAGAAAAATTGGCTAAACCTCTAATCTCTGAAAGATATCTAAGTAAGGAAGTAAATCAAATTTACACATTATATAAAACAAAGCTAAAATACCAAATTAGTTCTTCCACCATCTGGTAAATGTCAAAGATATATCTGCAGATATATTATGTGTCATTGTAGATAACAATATAATGACATCACATATCCTTTTCACAACTTCCTTCTATAGTTCCTGCTATATTGATATTTGTACATTTTCTTTTTTTAAAAATAAACAAACGTGAAACAGGTAACACACACACATACAAAGGTATATACAATTTAAAACATTGTAAATGCATGTTGCAAAAATTCATGATGAATTAAACTGGATCCAACTAATACTAGTATAGAATATGCAACTATATATATGTGTGTGTGTGTGTGTGAGGAAATGAAATGATAAGCATCATTTATATTATTTTAAGATGTAATATCAGAAACACTGATTTTTTGGATGCCATTTTTAGTACTCAAAACAGAAAATATATCAATTAAAGAACACAAGGAAAAACAATGAGGATTACATTGATTTGATCCAATATCAGGAAAATAAAACATCCTCACTGCCACCACCCGAAAACACAGTATACTACAGTTCATTCAGGAAAAAGAAGATTCCATTCAACAAAGTTGACTATTATTTATAAGAATTGTTTTACAAATTTTCTTCCACTTTGGGACTACTCCTTCAATTTTTTTCCCTTTTCCTTTTTTCATTTAGGCCAGTGGTTCTCAGCCTTCCTAATGCCGCGTCCTTTTAATACAGTTCCTCATGTTGTGGTGACCCCCAACCATAAAATTATTTTCTTTGCTACTTTGTAACACCGGGAGCCACAAAACCTGGGTAGGTGTGGCCAGCTCAACATCACTCCCACCCAGTCACATGACATTCCCCTCCCCAGACATGCCTACCAAGGTTTCATGGCTCAGTGTTTTCTGTGGGAATAGGGTCTCTCTTCTCTCCCCCTCCCTCTCATTTCTGTTTT